TTTAACGGTGTTATTGTCTAACTTCAACTAATCCACGAAATTGAGTGACATATCCACCATTGTCATCAGTGAGTTACTATCTTACAACAGATCTGGTTGAACTCCACTGGTCACTGCTTCTCCAGTACTTCCCAATTTTTCGTGATGATCTACCTTCATTTGACTCATGATCTCAACTATTGAAATTACTACAATATCCATAAAATCCCTTCTGATATCAATTATATTATGTTTATAGTCACCTACTCAAACAGATAGACTAGTAAACACTTTAGAATGTTTATTTGTTGTTTTCTTTTCTTTTTTTTCTAAAAGAAATGGGAAATTTGTTTATTGAAGATAGAACAGTGTAAATATTCATTAAAGCCAGTTGTGTAACATTCATAAAGTATAATTTATTCATGAAATTGCAAACGGGTTTAAAGTTGTTTTTTTAAAAGGGGGAAAAAAGTTGGAGAAACCAAAGCGGTATCTTTTTGTTTAGATGAATCAGCCTGTTTTATTTTTGAATGAATATTTATCAACAACAACAAAAAAAGGGGAATTTATTTTATGAGATTGGTGGGAGGTATTAAGTTTGACTATCAATATGAATATCAAACTAGAATGAATTTGATACATTTAGTTAACGAGTAGTGAATGGTATAGAATGTGACTCATGAATTCCACTTTTACCCAAATTCGAACTATACTGAAAGCATTTGGTATTGTTTACTTGAATATTTCATTGATTTCTTGGACTAAAATTGATCAGTCTCTTATTGGCATATGTGCATACTGTGCGAATGGTCTCGATATTGATTTAATTCAAAAGGATTATAAGCAAAGATGGATGGTGGCTAGCAGTGGAATTCAGGACGCACGCTTAGTCCTATTTTGGACTCGTCAGTTAGATGTACCTGTATCGCAGAGTTGGTGTTCACTCTAGGACTCTAAACCAGTACAGTTCACTTCAAACGCCATCTCATTATCAACTTAGCTAGTGAATCCTGACAGCCACCTGCTTGTGAAATGAGGTGAAATTTTAATTCACTTGGTGTTTTTTTACTTGTATCTTCCCATTGTTACTTAGGAATACAATTGATCAGTCTCTTGTTCGCATATGTGCATCCTGTGCGGACTGCCTTAATTCGTAAGCTTTACAAGCAGGTACATGAAGGTATGTCTAGCTAACGAGTCTGAAATAGGACAAAACGCGCGTCCTGGATTCTATTGCTAACTACTTCCTATCTTTGCTTTGATTGAATGCAGTTTTATGGTATTCTTATATCACTTCTGAATTTAAACTACGTTTTTAATTAAGTATTTATCCATAGATTTTTTAAATTTTAAATCAATATAAATTTAATTAATTATGATCTTGTTGATCAGTTCGGTCTTAAAACTCTTCTAGATATACTGGAAGTTGTAAAAATTTAGCATATTGTAGCTAGCAATGGAATTCAGGAAGCGTGTTTTCTCTTGTCTAGAACTCTTCAGCTTGATAAACCTGTTATATCTCATTGTTGTTGTTTAAATTGAAACTCAAACTCAGTAATTGTAGCATTAAAATGGAACGCGCTACGTACTAAGATATTGAGTTAATACGGCCACTGAATAACTCAGTGGCTTTATCGATTGTATCCCCATTATTAGTGAATAGCGTAATGAAATACAAGGCGAAATTAATAGATTAAAGTTTCATCGTGAATATCAATACTGGAGTGTAACTACATCCAAATGACGGGTTTCAAATAATATGGAATATGTGTTGCTACTAGCCTAAAAACATCGATTCTATAAAAAAGGAAGATAAATGGCCATACTGACACAATTCACACAGAAAGCACAAATGTTAACAAAGATTAACAAAATCCATGCGTAAGTTTTAACGATAGGCTGATTCATGACCTTACTGAAAATATACATAAAATTATTAATTTCAATAGTTGAGACCATGAGTCAATTAAAGCTAGACCACAATGGAAAACCTGGAAGCACTGGACGGCCTATTGTGAAACTTCTCCCACATCGCGAAATTCAAACCGAGGACCTATCAATCTCGCGCGCGAGCACTTAACCACTACACCACAAAGCCGGCCGGCATTCAACGGTGTTAATGTCTAACTTCAACCAATCTACGAAATTGAGCGATACATCTAGTGTTTATAAAATAATTTCATCTTTTAACTTTCGTCTAAATTTGATCGAATAGTTTCACAGTATATGAGCGCCGAGTTGATTTAAAACATTAAATTGGAAAAACGTATTCGTAAAATTTCAGTGAATAATTTGAAGTCCAACGTTTCGCCTTCTTTGAAGAAGATTGGACTAGATTGCCAGGCGAAACGTTAAATTTACTTCAACTTCATTCACTGAAATTTTACAAATACATTCTTCCTCTTTAAATCTTATCTTTTGTTTTCATTGAAAAACAAATTGTTTTACATATATATCTGTATATCAGAAGTGAATTGATCATTAATTAACTACATTGTAAACCAACAGACTATATATATATATATATATATATATATATATATATATATATATATATATATATTAAGTTACATTAGAATTCCAATGGATATAAGCCACTGAAATCCGTTACTTATCTCATGAAACACGATATAAAATGTTTGTTTTCTTACATTCGATATGTATTATGTCATTTAGTTGTTAAATGGTAACGAAATGGTAAGAAAGATTTCTAGCTAATGTAGATGATTTTGAAGGTGTTTCATCATTCATCCTGATTCACAACTAAATCATCTGGCTAAAAGAATGAAACTCTGTCAATCAAGTTGTTGACTGGATTCATCCAGTTTAGGAATACTGATTATAATAAGAAATATGAGTTAACCTATGATCAGCTTTTAAAGAAATTTCACAGCATTTCAGTATAAAAACTCTTACTTACGGAGTTGATCATATCCAGAATGAATTAGTTAAATGAATTACTAATACTGGTCATGTTAGAAATGTATTAAAGAAAAACATTACACTTTTTGTAAGACTTCAAAATCTTGTATGAACAATATTGAAAAGGCTTCTAACTAAGATAATATACAGCTATTCCATTCATAATGTAAATTACTTTTTCAACAATGATCGTCTTTTAGTTATGTAGAGAAAATTCATAAATTATTGAAGGCTCTTTCAATGGATAGTCTAGTTTCCATGAGAATTTGTAAATACAATACAGATGATGTAATCATGAAATGATTTCTTGAATTTTCAATTCACTATTTGAATCATTGTTAATAAAGTAAATTTGGAAATAACGAATATGGACATGAATCTAGTTAAAACATCTAATATTTATAAATATTATCAAATGAAGAGGAGGATGAAGTATCCTGTTTTTGTACACTTCCAATGAAAACAGTAGTAAAACAATTACATTCATATGAAGATAAAGAACCCTAATAAGGAACAGATGAAATCAATGGATTGTAGAACTTTATAAAATAATGACCTCATTTTTTGTATCTATTGAATAAACTATGTATTAAGGTAACTAACTGTATGAAAATGAATTCGACAAATAAGGATCTATGTTACCATAGATCCTCCTATATTGTCTACTGTGTTATTTAATATAACTAGTACTATAAATAATTGATTGTCCCACTATAGTCCAAAATGAAAATTAATGGAAATACTTCGTGGTACAATAAAGGATAGTTTTCTACAGGAAAAATATGGGGAGAAATAGGAGAAAAATGACACTCTATAAAGGTTGTAAACAATTAAATGATAACAATCGTGGAAGAAAATAGTAGAATAGTTGTGATAATGCCAAGCAATTCACGACGTATTCACCTAATAAACTTCAATTCTCTATGAACGTATGTAGATATTTTAATAAGTAGAGAGTCAGTGGTGTCTTGTATACAACTAAGGACTATTCTGAAGAAGAAGAAGAATACATAAAAATGCTCTCCGAATGTTTCATAGAATAAATGGATTGTAGCTAGTAGCCGAATCCAGGATAAGGATTTCGTTCTGTCTAGGACACATTAGCTGGATATACCCAATACGTTATAGTCTTGATGTCCACACTAAAATTTTTACGCGGTATTTATAATTCCAAACACCAATAAGTCATTAAATAAGCTTACTAGTCCGGACAGTCAATCACTTGTTCATCCAAACAATCCAAATCGTTTTTAATAATCATATGAACATCATTCCTGTTGAACAAATTGTTGGCTATCTGAACTCAATAGCTCATAGATAATCTATTAGAGACGAGACTAAAAAGTACTAGGTTCGAGTCTAAGAATGAAAATCAACGTCATGATCTTGAAAAGCCTAATTAGCTAAATCTAAATAAAAATAAAACACAAGTTATGAGTTTCATCTCTAATTACAATTCAGTTATTCTGTAAAATTTGAAACCCAGACAATCCTTATCGAATGAACATATGCTAATAGAAACTAGTTGAAATTCAACCATAGAATCTAAACTATTCTATTCATAACTTATACATTTAATACGTTATCTATATTACAATAATTTAATGGTTAAGATCATGAGTCAGTTGAAGCTAGACATCCATGAAAAACCTGGAAGCATTGGACGGCCGTTTCGTCCTATTGTGGGACACCCCAGTAGTGCGCACCCACAATCCCGTCTCGCGAGATTCCAACCCAGGACCTATCAGTCTCGCGCCAGGAGCTTAACCATTAGACCACTGAAACGCCGGCATCCGACGGTGTTAATGTCTAACTTCAACTAATCCACGAAATTCAGCGATATATCCACCATTGTCTTCAGTGAGTTACTATCTCACAATAGACCTGGTTGAACTCCACTGGTCACTACTTCTCACTAGAACTCCAGGATATGCCTCTTAAAGCCAGTCACAAGTGAGCATATGTTGATTAATATCATAGATGGGTTTTTGTGTATATTATAGTAAGTTCAATGGTTAAGATCATGAGTCAGTTGAAGCTATATCTATATTATAATAATTGATATAAGAATAAATGTTACATCATAAGGTGATTATTACTTACTTGAAACTGTAACGTTTATTTGTATACATTGGTGAATTATCATTTATATCCAATATATGTATAGTTAATAATTCAATTGTTTTTTGTTTATTATTAATACCATTATCTTCACATTTTAATGTAACACGTAATTCTGGTTGTATTTCACGATCAATTGAACGTAATGAACATAATTGATATACACTAATTTTACCTAAATTTCTTAAATAAATTAAATTTAATTCATCTGTATGATCTAATTGACATGTGAATTGACCATTTTCATTAGAATCTTGATCAGAAACTGTAATCGTTGCAATCAATGCCCCAGGTAACTTATTTTCAATGAGATATAATGTTGATTTCATCATATCTATATTTGTAAATTTGGTTGTATTTTGTTGATATATGAATGATTTATAATTATCTTCTTGTAAAAATGCCGGTGTAATTGTAATTTGTGGTGAATTATCATTTTTATCTTGTATATTAATAATAATACGTGTTGTTGCTGTTAATGGTGGTAGACCACCATCTTCAGCCACTATATTAAATAGATATTGTGTTAATCCACCAGTATCATAATCTAATGGTGATCGAACAAGAATTGTACCAGTTTCACGATCAATTTTAAAATCTCTTCTTGCTACATCTGGAGCGGATAAAGCAAATCGATAAGTTACATGACCAAATTCTCCTTCATCTATATCATTTGCTATAAGATTTATTGGTAATTTACTACCAATTGGGATATCTTCATCGATATTCACAATCATTTCACATGACTGTCCAATAATTAATTCTGTTTTATTTATATAACTATTATTATTAGTTTTATGATTACAATGTTGAAAAATTGGTGAATTATCATTTTCATCAGCAACATGTATAATTAATTTAGCATAACCACGATTTCCTCCACCATCAACAGCAGCTACAGTCAATTCATAATGGATAATAATTCACGATCCAATATACCATTGATAATCATTTGAAATATTGGTCCATTTGGACTAGGTGAATTCACAATTTGAAATAATGATAATGTATTATTATTATGATGATGATGAAGATGATCTGAATTAGCTAGTTCATATTTTATAATAGAATTTTCACCAATATCTGGATCATATGCTAATGGTAAATCAATAATAGTACCAATTAATGAATTTTCTATAATCCATATTTCTAATAATGGTTGATCAATATTATTTTTAGTTAACCATTTCGGTATATTATCATTAATATCACGTATCACAATACGTAAACTTAATAATCTACCATCATTAACAAAGATAACACTAGACCATGCACATATTTCTGGCCAACCACTTTCACTACATAATTTTCTATCAATATCTCTATCTAATAATTTACATACAATTAATTTATTAAATATAATTTTATCAAAATTAAAATATGTTGTATCTTGTAATGTAAATGTTATGTAATCATTTGTCTTATTATTATTATTATTATGATGATCTGGTTCCAAGTTGATTCGTCCAACTTCAGAACCAATTGGGAGATTCTCTTCAATAACAAATGTTATTACAATAGGATTATTTACTGATGTAATATAAATCAATTCATAATTATATAATAGAATATATAATATACTAAAGAATAATTTATAATGATATAAGAACATATCTCCTTAATATATATTGCATAGATATTAGAATGTTAAATAGATCTATGATAATAACATCATTATAAGTAATATGATAGAAATGAGTTACCATCCATTAAAAATGATCCATTTTCAAATAGGAATAATTTCTTAATCAATATCATTATGATCATTGTTATACACAGAGTAACATAAATGAAAATATAATTTAGTTGAATAGCTCAGTATGAAGAGAAGATTCTCTTTTTCTTCTCTTCTTTTTTTTTTCTTTTTTTAAAATTTTTTTTCTTTAAAAAAAGGACGTAATTTAATTAAAAGAAATATCAAATGATTACACCAATCGGTATTATTTCTAATTCTTCTTTATATATATATTCTATTTCCTTTTTTATTGTTGCTGTTGTTACTTTGTACTCAAATGTTGATTGGTGATTGGCTAATGAATTGGTTGGATTGGTTAAATGATTAATTTACTAAATGTATTTATAAAGGGTAAATTTAATATTATATATATATATATATATATATATATATATATATATATATATATATATATATGGTATTTAGTTTATCATGAGTTTATTTTTGTGCAGATATACATTAAGATCGATTAAGATTATTTACTTACTTACATACTTACGCCTGTTAACCCTAATCGAGCATAGGTTGCCAACCGAAATTCTTCAAGTCACTCTGTCTTGGGCCTTCTTTTCCGGTTCTATCCCATCGCTGTTCATTCTTCTCATGTGTGTCTCCATTTATCAACGTAATGTGTTCATTGGTCTTCCTCTCCTCCTTTCGCCTTCAGGATTCCATGTGAGGACTTGCCTTGTGATGCAGTTGGTGCTTTCTTCAATGTGTGTCCTATCCACTCCCATCGATTCTTCCTGATTTCTTATGACGTTGTGATCTGGTTTGTTCTCTCCCGTGGTAGGTTGTTGCTAATAGTATCTAGCCAACGGAGCTGCATTATTTTGTGTAGACAGCTGTTATTAAACACTTGCATCTTCTGGATGATGGCTTTCGTAGTTCTCCAGGTTTCCACCCCATACAGTAGAACTGTCTTGACATTTGTATTGAAAGTTCTGAATTCGGTGTTGGTTGACAGTTTTTTTGAGTTCCAGATGTTTTTCGGTTGTGAATATGATATTCTTGCTTTACCGATCTGTGCCTTCACATCCGCATCAGATCCACAGTGTTCATCAATGATGCTGCCCAAATATGTAAAGGTTTTTACATCTTCCAAATCTTCTCCGTCAAGTGTGATTTGATTGATAGATTAAGATAGTTAACTAAAAATAAAAATCTATTTTGTTTCAGGAATTGTTAGGATGGCTTTGAGAATCAAAACAAAGTCTGTAGAGGCTTTAAAGGAGCCGGAGAGGCTATATCTAGTCAAAGCCTGATAGAACTTTCTAGAATATCAACGTGGCATGCTACGACTGGGCAATAGTATAACTTGACTCACTGCGGATTGGCTGAATTATAATCAACTCAACTAACTATAAATACCTATGTTTTTTTGTACATTTTTTCATTCTTACACAATAATCACTTCACATACTTCTTTTGTCTTCTGATTTGCGATTATGGGGTCCTAGACGTTCGAGTGCCACTAATCGTATATTGTATTTTACTGTAATCAAGTAGAGGACACAATAGTAATTTAAGTATTTTCCCATATATACAGTTTCTAAAGATTTAGCGATGTGTTTTGAAGAAAAAATATTGAATATCAAAGTGTTAATTGTTCTCTTTTTTCAACAATAATTTCTCCAAAATGACAATCGCTGAAGAATAATTGAAAACCAGAGAGAAGTCGACTACTTGTCCTTCACACTATAGTTTAGACAATAGTTACTGGAGTGTTTAAAACTGAAAAGAAGTATAGTACATTTGATGGAGATATATTACAACTTGATCGATACAATCCTATGAATACTGAGAAATCGACATAAATACAATAGTAATGACTATTCAATAATTAAATCGTTCAAATACATCTGTCCTACAGACATGATTGAAGTAGAAAGCTTAATTAGTACGTTGTTGACTAATATTAATGAGTGATGAGAGTATCAGTTATATCAAGATTTACAAATACATCTCATTGAAAATTGTCAGCTGTTGCAAAACCTCGGTTCAAAGATTCATATTGATCGCATCCATTCACTTAATATCCATTAAAATACTGAGTTCTTAATACTAGTCATCGCAATGTAACTTGGTCAATGAAACACGATCAGCACCAAGGGTTCTGGATAAATACTAGATTGGTTTCTACTCATTGGACGATCTGTGTATACAGTTCTCACCATCAATTTACAATAATAATTATCTTCAAGTTAGTTACACTTTTTGCTTTGAGTAAAAAGGTAACCATATTCATATTTGTTTAAAAATACTTTCAAATATAAACCTTTTTTAATTATGATATACAGAGCATGCAGTATTTCACATTTACTGATTATAAGCAGTCATTATTTGGCTTATCATGGAAAATTTATCTCATTGTGTGAAGCGCTGACTATTGTCTATAGCTTATATTAATCACATGTTGAGAGTAGATCTGAAGACCAGAAATCCTTAAATATCTGTCTCGTTATAGTATAAGACGTTTCATAGGTTATCATGCATGTGCATTGATAAGAAGCCACAAACTAGGACAAAACAACTCCCCACTGGTTTTAAATAGTACTGATCTGGTGAACCGAATGAGGTCAGTCAATGGTAATCAGAAGTAACGTGAAAAACAGCTGCATATCATTGCCTAAGAATTGGATTGTTTTCAAAGGGGTAGAGTTATATATATATATATATATATATATATATATATATATATATATATATATATATATATATATATATATATATATATATATATATATATATAGAGAGAGAGAGAGAGAGAGAGAGAGAAAAGTTTTATTCGGTATTACAATACTCTCTCACACTCAAGTGGTCAGTTGGGGGGTAGCGCATAGCTCGTAATGTATCAGCATTCGATTTTGGTCGTCCCCCATCATAACAGGTACGTCACGTGAATCCAACTTCTGACGAATATAAGCTACAAGACAAGCCAATCTCCACAGAACTCCTTTAACCAAAAAAATTATTATCGCTACTACAATCGGTATATTATTAGTAAAGAAATGTCACCTAACACATATAAACGACTCATCTTTCACATATGGACTGGTTGGATAATAAGTCAATGACTTCACTCCAACTTTATAGGCGGTCTATGACCTGTCATCAAAACATTTAATTAAATACCCCTTAGGTAATCACTACTGTGTTTGTTCACTGTTGATATTAATTCCAGATTAAAAATACCTTCAAAATACATGGAGTTTTAACAAGACATCTTTGTAAATTTATTCATTTATCAACAAAAAATGCCATCCAGTGTAAAAAAAACACAATGCTATCGCATATTTACAAGTGATATTTATTACAAATTCACCTCATTAAAAAATATGTAACGAAGGACAATTATTTCGTCCTAGTAGGTGATCTCACAATGGCCTCATAGTGCGTAGAACCCATGATCTTTATATTTCTGTGTGAGTGATTAGCTATTACTTCACATTGGGATTCACTGATGAACACTGTGTGATGTAGCTTGACAAAAATCCACTACCATCGGTAGGTAACAGACTCATTCCTAATACTGCTGATCTCTAATCTTACTGAAAATAGTATTGTTCGCCTATTTGTGTTGTTCTCAAACATTTATCCACTGCAAAATAGTCTTTCTTTAACTGATGGCAATTCATATTGAACACTACAGTGCCTTCAATTTATTCATAGGTTAGTATAAAGTCATGGAGACAGTTGGATTTGATTAAGATCAAGAACTGTTCTAAATTAGATGATCATTGGAAAACTGGGAGCAATGGACTACTGTTTCGTCTAAGCATGTGACTTCACATGATATCACTAGTGCCTAGCTATGAGAAGAGATTCTCAGAATTTTAGTAAGAAGCCGTGACCAGTGGAGTTCAACCGTGTCGGGTTTGAGGAAGATGCCGATTTTCAAAAAATGGAAGATAATCACTTAATATCTCGGAGTGGTCGAAGTTAAGCTTGTATATTACTGGATGTCTACCTAGCGATACGGAGGATAGGGGTTCGCACTAAGCCGAAGGCCCTGTGTTTGAATCCCATTTGAGCTATCATGTATCCGAATTGCTGAAGATCCTCATGCTAGGATTAAAAAGTCATGTATTTCTCCCATGTTCGCAATGGTTGTCTTACTTAGATTGGTTAGAGGTCTTAATATGATCAAATTTCACCTGTATATGTTTATATTTTCCAGTTGATATAACGAATGCGACTAATCATTCTTTGTCGGTATGTGTGCTCCCTGTGAGAGTCCCCTTAGTAATGTCAAATATTCCCTAATATTTTATTAAAGATGGAATTCAAGACACAACTTTTGATCCGTTCAAAACTCATCAGCTTAATGTACCTGCATCCTAGGTACTTAATTCGAGTTTCAATGTAAATATTAATATTAAGTTTATGATATATCAAGCTAGCAAGCCCAAAATAATAAAAAAATGCATGGATAGTATCACACTGTCAGCCACTATCCGATTTGATTAAAACAATTATATTTCTATGTTGTATAAAATATTCATTGTGAATAAATGAGTATTTAAATATTTCAGTTAGATTTCAGAGTCATGTGTAGCATATTGTATTTCATGAAAGATCAATTTAAATTTGTCAAGAAATAGTCCCAATAGTTTAAGTTGTTACTCTGAAATGTATTAAAACCCTAAGCGTAACTCAAGACTTTCGCTCACATGAAATTACCTTTTTATTTTGGTGGAGTTTTGTTCTCTGAGCTGGATGATTTGGTAGTGGAGCTTTCATCGTTCTTCTGAACGACATCATCAGCACAAACTTCAGATAGAAGTGAAGTGTTCGAATTTATCCGCATGTGTTTCACAGCTTGTTCTGTGCACCTCGATGTTGATTGGTTCTTGTTGACCTTAAATTTATCATTGTTTACTTCTTTGTTTTGGTTGTGTCTCCCATTGGTTTGATTTTTGTTCCTATATTTATGCATGATTTTCCTGATTGGTTGATAAATTGGATTGATTTCAATATGTTTGTTGATTGCTGATTGACCTGAGTGCCAGGCTTCTAAAATTCTCTGGTGTTTTTGGAGTTCCTTGTCTAAGATTTCTACATTTTCCCAATCGAATGAGTGTCCGTAGTTATCCACGTGCATTGATATAAGTGAAGAGATATCATGGCGTTTGACTGCTAATTGATGTTCATGTAAGCGTAGGTGGAGGGGGCG